ATTGTTCAATTAGTTTTATTGCTCCAAATCAAATGCATACACAAACAACACAAATCGAGAATGTTTTTATTGTATATTAAATATTTTAATTTGCAAACGATCGATCTAAATCAAATCTCAGGCAATTTATTTGCATTGTCAATAGAGCTAAACGATTAGTGGACATTAATAGAACGTCATCAAATTCATTGGATATTTGCATTGATCCAATTCATGATTTCATCTCTGTTCGACTTCAGCCAATCGATGTTTTGCTGCACTTTTGCCTTGTGATCCATGATTACTTTTGCGTTCTCTGGCGAAATCGTTGTGCCCAATGAATTGAGGAACGCATCAATCTGAAAAATGCATCCACAAGTGATCATTGCCATTCATATCTAGCAATATTCACTTGTGACCAGCAACTAATTCCATTTTCAAGATTTTTCATCTCAACATCGAAACATGAAGCGTGTTCCAAAATCCATGATAATAATCTAATCCCTGATGCATGCAAGTGCTCATATATCTCATTATTTTCAGGCGTTTAAGAGATCGTTTTGATGATCAAGATCAAAATAACACAGCCTTTCATTGCCAGTTATTTATGGCGATCTACTGACCTTGTCCAACTGCTGCTGAGTGTTCCAGCTACCGACGGCCACGTCCATGTAATACGATAAGCTTGGTACGCCGTAAAACACTGCGTCGCTATTCGCAACCAAATAATCCCACAAAAGGGTGTCCGTGCTGTCGCGTTGTGCAATGTACTCGAGAAGTACCACCGGATAATGGCCATCAAGAACGTCCGCTATCAATCTAATTTGATGGAAACTTTTCACATACAATTTATATGACTTAAACATTATTCCCAAGTTATTATACGAATTACTCATGGAATTCATCAGTAAGTCTTTATAAAGTGACAGAGTAATGGATAGTTTTCGCAGACGCCCAACAACCACACATACTCAGCTCTTGCGATTGCAATTCGATGAAATTTTGACGGAAATCCACCTCACTAAAACTGATCCAATTACTGAACCAATCAATTAATATGGGATCAGTTAATTCAGTAGTGTCGTTGAAACGTAACAATGAAACTAGGTTGAATCAATGAGTGCAATTTGTTTGAGAACCTGATACTTCCACTCAGCAACAACTGAAGGCAATACGAGAAATATGTCAAATATGGAAGACACAAACTCGTCTAACCTCTTCTTTGTTGCTTCATCCTGTAAACATGCAAGCGCATGTAGAAGGTTATCGTCATCTCTTCGGAAATAGTAGGAATTCTTCACGAACCATTTGTATAACTTCTCAACCACATCTATCCCGTTCGGCGTTTGCGCTAAACCATAACAGTATTGGGTTCTTCGCACATCTGGTGCCACATCACTGAAATGTTCCTACTATCAGCCGACCGATAGTCTTTCGAATGAGTGACTATTTAGTGCACAATAAGGACTGAAGAAAAGCGAGCAATTCAAGAGGAGAATGTTCGAAATAGAAGAAATTTGTTGTTTGCGCAGAAAATTGCTATTGTGATTCATTCGGCCATAAGCAGCAAGCGCACAAACCTATTGCACAATCCCGTTCCAGTCATCGAATATTCGCAGTTTGTCATGAACGCATCGAACAAGGATTTCGCTTTGTTTAAGCATTCCACATTATCAGTCAAGCACGCATGTTCGGTCGCTAGCGTAGCCACGCTCCTGCAGGTTGATAAGTTCTATTGTTTAGTTACAAGCGATCATACCCGTCACATTATCAGTCAGTGCTCTCGACTAAGGAACTATATTAACATAATCATTGAGCAATAATAGGTAAGTTAGATAATGCAAGGTCAAGAAAGTTACGCATCAGTCCAGCTGCTAGACTTCTGCCAACCACGTTCTTGGTATGCTTTCCGAACTGATTTGGCGACGAACTTCTGAAACATTGATGAGATATGTGATCTGGTATCGCCTTCGGAATGACACTAGCATGAATGTCGTTTTAATGAATGTTTCTACGGCTGCAATTTCACTGACCTTTATATTCGGCATATCTGCAGTACCCTTGAATGCATTCAGCAGTTGATCTCTGACTCGCTGGAAAGCGAAATGTGGTGGGTATTCGATCTCATCGGCCATGAACTCAACCATCTCCAGCACTCGTGACCATGGCAAAGAGCCTCTCCTACGAAACGACATCACTGTGAGTAACAAACAGAACCTATCGTGCTCAACAAATTCATAAACTACTGAATGTGAACACTTCCGATCGTCCGTTCAACCAGTCATCTATCCAGATGAAATAACGATGAATGTGCGATATGAACGAACTCTCTCAACGCAA